TGATTTTTACATTATGTCATCATTATGTTCACATTTTTATATTTTATCATTACGTTAGCATTATTTGACATTTATCTGTCTAATTATGATAATTTATGCATGGTGAGCAAACTCCCTAGATTAGCGTAGGCGCGAGTACATGCGTAGTTGGTTTTAAACTATGTACGCGTTTGTGGCATAAATATACTAGTATCTTGCATTTATATCCCTGTGTACTAATACAACATCAACATAAACCCTTTCGTCCGACAGTTGTAAATATTGTATGTGTAAATCCTTGTTTCGCTGACTACAGAGTTTTTATTATCTGTGATTAGCGAAACGAACCAGTTACAGATTAAAAATAGTTTTTTTCGACAAATGGTTTATGTCGTTAAATATACGACGGAAAAAGGAATGCACTGGTCAAGTTTCGACCGACATTTGTAAATATTGTACGTGTAAGCACAGGCGCTCGAAACGTTTCCTGGATAATAAAAAATAACCTAAAGTGGGTTCGGCATAGTTAGTCAGTCGCCGGTAAATTCCCCTACTGCTCATATAATAACACAAGGTAGGAAAGCGTTGACACCATGACATCGAAACTTCCCGAAAATAACACGATTTTCCAAATTATATTTCGATCCGCTTCACATAACTCAAGCATGATATCGCTAGAAACTATCGATCGACTTACATTATCTTTATTCAAACTAAAACGGGTTAAATCCTGTGAAAATCGAAACACCAGAGCAATATGAATCAACCCACTACGTGGATATTTTGAAGCAAAGGCCCGAGCATGCGTATATGTTTGGAACTGCGCATGTTTGTAACTATGCCGATCCCACTTTAGGTCATTTTTTATTATCCAGGAAACGTTCCGAGCGCCTGTGCGTGTAAGACCCTTGATACGCTCATTACGGATTTTTGATTATCTGTAATTAGCGGAAAAAAATGATAGATTTTGCCACTATCCAGGTATAAAAATGGTGACACTTTTGAGCACTCAGGGACACCTCCCTGGTATGTATCAAGCATGAGGCCATATTGGTCGAGACTTGCTGGAATATCACCGCCCCACGATTCCCACGGCGAACCCTATTTCTTCACGAACGCGAACACCGACTCGATGTCTTGAGAACGCCGTGCGGGAGTGTATGCACCGAAGTCACCGGGCGCGACGAGGAGCTACCATTTGAACCCGAGATTTGAACCAACTTGAACATTCTGACCGGGATTGGTTTCAACCGGCAACGGCGATCGTGACACTGTTTCAGCATCGGTCGCTGAAACAGCTTGCTGTATCAACAAACTTGCATCGCACAAAGCTTGACATGCTTCCTGAATTTTGGCCACTTTTGCCAAAGGATACAACACTTGCGCAGACGGCATTTTCCCCATCACGTGTGTGTGTATAATACCCCCTAACGTATCTATTATAATTAGCTTCAACTAGTATGGTAAATTCGCTATAAATAATAGTCAGCAGTTAAAATAAAGGTTATGTTTATGCTGTATTGATACACTGGGATATAAATACAAGATATACTTATGCCACAAACGCGTAGTTAAAAACCCATGACAACTACTCGCATGTACTCGCGTCTACGCTGATCTAGGGAGTTTGTTCACCATGCATAAATTATCATAATTAGACAGATAAATATGTCAAATAATGCTAACATAATGCTAACATAATGACAAAACAATATATAAATGTGAACAAAATGATGAAATAATGTAAAAATGCAAACAAAATTAACACATATGTGAACATAATGATAAAATACTATAAAAATGTGAACATAATGATGAAATAATGTAAAAATGCAAACAAAATTAAAACAAGTGAACATAATGATAAAATAATATAAAAATGTAAACATAATGATGAAATAATGTGAACATAATGATAAAATAATGATAACAAATATTAAAAATTAATGTGAACATAATGATAAAATAATATAAAAATGTGAACATAATGATGAAATAATGTAAAATGCAAACAAAATTAAACAAATAATGTGAACATAATGATAAAATAATATAAAAATGTGAACATAATGATGAAATAATGTAAAAATGCAAACAAAATTAAAAAATAATTTGAACATATTGATAAAATAATAAAAAATGTGAACATAATGATGGAACAAAGTTAGAAAAGAAGGTGAACATAATGGTAGAATGCTAAGAGAAATGTTTTTGGCACTTATCTCACCCCATATACATCAACGTGCGGTGTTTGTTATTGAATATAAACATTCAGATTCAACAAGCCACTATAAGGTATACATGAAACTATATGTAAGGCTTACCGACATGACAAGATATAGGTCCAACATTAACCAAAGTACACTTTGATGATATAAATTGTATTAAATCTAGACCAAGGAAAACTGACATTATTAATGGGATTGTGTCCAACAATAATCAAGACATAATGGCAGTGATTCGATTAGGTTTAAAATTATTAAAGATAAACTGAAAGGAACTAGATTAGGCCTAACAATACACAATGCATAATGACAGAAACTGGATAAGAGTCAACATAATTCAAAGCATACTAACCGTAACTGAATTAGATCCAAAGTTAATCAAAGTACACTGACATAAACTTGACTAGGCCCAACATTAAACATGGCATAATGACAGAAAATAGATTAGCTCCAAAGTTAATCCGCAGCTTCAATATTTGAATTTCAATGCTACAAACAGGGCTTACATAAAACATAATTTGTGGCCTAAAGTATTGCGTCAGCGCTAGTAAATATATGCAATGTTCACACGGCAGCATTCTATCGGAGCCGAAATACTGCTCTTTCCACTGATTAACAGGAGATTATCTTCAATGTGTTTACACGGACCCCGGGGACACGGACGGGGGCGAACGACAGCCGAGATCGGCCAGCGTTCAATTCAGTTCGATCAGAGTCGGACGGAACAGTGCCCTAAAATAATTAGTAGGAAACAAAAAATGACTGAAAACGATTTTGGTGTCGTGCTTGTGTTGTTTCTTTACATGGCACGATGCTGTTGAAGAAGAAGAAGAAAAAAACAGTTTCTTTCGTTTTTTATGCGGAAAAACACAATATTTTTACCAAGTAAAATCATATTTATTAAAGTTATTGTTCATACATGACCACACTACATAGTTCGTAATGTCACTCAGCTTCTTTCAGTCATAATTCAAGACAAATAAAAGGCAAAGGTATAGAGAATATAGCATATTATCTTTTTTCTGTAGTATTCTTGTGTAGTGGGTAATTACGAAAATTATTTATGGGTGCATAGGGAATACATTATGTCATGAATTATTCTTAATATAAATTCCTGAATTTATCCCTTCCAAAAAAGAATTTCACAATGTCGAAAACGGAAAGTAGTGTAGTGTCGTAGTGTTATACGTTGATTCCTTGTTGATATTGTCACAATATAATTAACAACAGACACAACAACAAATTCGAGTTACTTTTATCGAATTTTGTATTAGATCCTTACAATATTTGTTGAATGTATTTTTTCCAATGTCATATAATATACATCTGACCTAACTTCGGTAACTATTTTTCACAGAACCGCTATGTTGAAAGTGGGCGACGGAAACCTCAGTTTTTGGTCTACTAAAGTATCGGACATAAATGGAACGTGCAGGCCGGTGAATAACGTGGTATTTATTAAAACTCACAAGACGGGGAGTACGACACTTGCCACCATCATTGAAAGATACGGATATATCAACAATTTGTCATTCGTGCTCAATCCGCATAGTCATATTTTGACTGACAAGCTTTTCAATAGAAACATGGCTTACAAATCACCTCCGCCACTGGACTTCAAAGAAAATCATAAACTTCAATTTAACATAATTACAAATCACGCGCGTTACTCCAGAATCGAGATGGAGTCGGTGATTCAAAGTGGGGCCAAGTACATCACCATTATTCGCTATCCAGTCACAAATCTTGAATCGGCATTTGGATATTTTAGATTGGCTGAGAGATTGGATTTAACACACAACAAGAATCCGTTTTATACTTTTGTGAATGAAATTGATAAGTACTCCACAGAAAGCTTCTTTCGACGACCTTACATCCGAAATGGCCAAATGTATGACCTGGGACTAAATCCCGAAAATCAAAAAAGTGTAGCTTCCATACAAAAGAAAATAAAGGATCTATCGCGCGAGTTTGATCTGGTGCTGATACATGAGTATTATGACGAATCCTTGGTTTTGCTCAAAAATCTGATGTGCTGGCATTTCAATGATATTGTGTACATTCCAAAAGGAATAAGAAGTAAACAATTCCGGTATAACATTGACAATTCTTTCGAAATGAAAATAAAAAGATGGAGTCTTGCAGATTTTTTACTGTACGAGCACTTCAATAGGACTTTCTGGAAGAAAATCCAAACGTATGGACAGACATTTTACAATGATTTGCATCGTTTCAGACAAAAACAACACAATGTAACCATGACATGTATTGAGGAGGGTGCTGTTGATACCTTTGACGCCAGAGAAGAAAAGTGGGTTCTTGTTGCCAATGCAACAGAATTTTGTCGACTGCTTCGTTTGGAAGACACACAGTATTGGAAATTACTTGCACAAAGGCAGATGATAGCAGCATTGCACAGAATGAATTTTAATTTCACCCTAAATTGATTTATATGATCTGCTCAAATGATGCTGTCAAAGTTTCTAAGATATTACAAATGGTTTACATATATAATAATACTCGCCTGAGTGCGGATCTCAAGCTAGCCTTTGAAGGCATACAACTAAGCAGCTTCAGTATATATATATTTCTGCGAGACTAGTTTGTATGTACAGCACGTATAATTAATTAACACAATTTCTTACAAACACGTATCTTGGAGAATGTGTAAATCGGTTTGCCCAAAGTTCTATGAATTCCTGGATGCGTGGTCTATCAGAGAAAACACTGAAAAGGTTATGATGGATGCGAAACCACACCGAAAATAAAAAGTGTTCAAGTTTAAATCATTCAACACGTTTCAACAAGTTACACACTCAAAAATATAAGGCGTCCTACTATACTGTCTATGGTGGAACTGACATTCAAAACAAGAAGTTGTGTTACTAGCATAAACAATTACCCTGAGGACAAACTCCCAGCAGCTTTTCAACGAGATAGCCAGGACATCATTTTGGATACCTCTTTTATCAAATATATATATCGTATTATGCAGACTAATGATATGAATACATTGCCCAATGTTACATACTACATTCACTGAAATAAACGAACTAACTAACAAAATATGTAAACATCTTCTAGTATTATTTAATATTTTTCATATACACACTGATAAAAACATATCATTATTATTATTAGTCCCCGTTCGGAAGCAGTCCGAAATCGGAGACTTATGTTTTGACCTCCGTGCGTCCGTGCATCTGTGCGTCCTTGAGTGCGTCCGAACCTGTATCGTAGACATGCCTGGACCAATCACAATCAAACTTCACACATACATCATACATGATATTATACACATGCACATCAATTTGTTTCACGATCTGATACAAGATGGTCGAATGGCGGCCACTTTTGTTCTAAAAATCATCAAAATCATGATATTACATGATATTATACATATGCACATCAATTTGTTTCACGATCTGATTCAAAATGGCCGACGGGTGGACATTTTGTTTTAATAAATGTGGTTCTAGTGCTATATCTCTGACTTGCTGTGACTGATTATGTTCAAATTTTAAATATTCATTATACATCATGTCATAGATATGCAGATATATTGGTTTGACGATCCTATTAAAAATGGACGATTGGTGGCCATTTTTGTGCTGAAA